GACGTATCATATAAGTGGCATGCCTATAGACTATTTTTGTTTTGGGCATGCCCATGACCGCTGTGCCACACACTCTAACCCGGGTGGGATGCACTCGGATAATGTGTACCAGGTTGGTGACTATAGGATAACTTTCTCGTGATTGGTTTCTTGATTGATTCTCATGACATAATGACCTACATTCTTGTTAATTAACTTGCCCTATAAAAAATGTCTAAAAAAAATGCCATTCTGTCTTAGGGGTTGGACCCGGGTAGAAATTGTTGATATATGATCACCCGGATAACCCGGGTAAATTAATAATACCCGGGTAGGGATTTTCTCAACGGGTCCAACCTCTAAGTCAAACCTCCCTAAGTGCACGCTTTGGGGACCAAATATAAATGTGTATTTAGAGGGTGTGCATTTAGAAAGAAGCAGGCAAGAGTCATGTGATAATTAGCCAATAAAATTATAAACATTCTATCCAATAAAGTGTGTTATTATAAAAAATTTTAAATATAACTGGATAATAATCACGTGCATGCATTTAGAGAGACGCACGTATTAAGTCCGAGTTCAAAAACTTTTGTATGTGCAGAATTTAGATGGTGTGTATTTAGCTTTAAGTTCCAAGCTTGGAACCAAGCTATCGCATGTATTTAGAAAAGGTATGCATTTAGAGAAGGTGCACTTAGAGAGGTTTGGCTATAATTTTAAAAATTTTTTATAAAATTGTAGTAAAAGTATAGTAAAATAGTAGTAAATACAGTAGTAATAAGTATATTGCTAATATATAGTAACTTTAAACTATAGCTACTATAAAATGTCTACTGTTTATACAGTCAAATCTTTTTATAGTTACACTTTTGGGATACAAAATACTACGATTATAAAGAGGTGTACTAATACACTAGTGATTATAAGTAGTGTAACAAAAAAATTTTAGTTAAATTATAGTCTCATACAATTCTAGATGTATCTGTTAGTTTTTTTTTTATTTTTTTTATAAAATAATATTCTTTTTAAATAGTAAAATTTTAGTAGTTATTATTATTACCAATGTAAAAATATTTGTACATTTATTATAAATCATGTGTTATATTATTTTTGCTCATTTTTGGCAAAGTTCAGATAATATTTACTATATTATACAGTATAAATACACGCCAAAATGGAAATTTATTGAAATTTTTGCAATCTCTGTATTATAATAAAACATTTGATAAAAAAAAAAAATTATATAACTATAATTCAAATAAGTTTATGTTTCTTCTTTGTTATGAAAGTAGTATACACAAAGATGATAGATTAGATGTATAAAATTTGTTTTTTGTAGTTTTTTATACTAATAAAAAAGATTAAAAAATATATATACAAATCATTATTTTGAACAACTTCACTTACTATGCCAAGTTTATTTTTCTTATTAAAAAATTAAGTTATATATATGATTACGATCATCATCAAGTAATATAAAAATCAAAAGTCTGGTAATTTATTGTAGGAGTGTATACTATATATATAATTAGAGTTTTTAGTTTTTATAGTATTTAACTATCTATTTTTGTATTAAGATACAAAATTTGCTATCTTTGTACCAAATGTCACAAATTAAAATAAAATCAGATTAAAATGAAAATGAGGACTTCTCTTGCTTACTCTTAAAGTTTATAAAACTTATATATACTCTTTTCTTAATAATTCTAACCCTAAACCCTACCTCTAATGCTAAAGAAAACCCCAAAAAATATTCACCAAAAAATTTAAAATTTTCCTTAAAAAATAAAAAAATTTCAGTTTAATCTGATTTTATTTTAATCTGGCATTCTAAATATATGACTATTACTTTTGTTAAATTAATTTATATAACTGTCATATATAATTTAAAATATAAAGAAAAAGTATTTAGTTATTAAGGGTGTGGCGACTTTGTGTAGTTGGTAAGTTGTCACATCACCAAGTAGCAGGACAAGAGTTCGAATCTCATCAGCAACGAAATTTGAATTTAAGGAATATGTTATAGCAGACTGTGTATAATCTGATGGATCATCGGATCTGTAGCTTTGGTTATACCAGCTTGTACTAGAAGAATGTGGAACTATAGTGTGATGCAAGAGTTACATGAAACCCAAGTGAAACATTTGTGTAAATCTAAGAGCTGGGCACACGAGATCTCACTTGGCAAGTCCCAAGTAGAAAGGTAGTACAGATCTTTGACGGTACTATATAAAGGGCAATCATTAGTAATCAGACACTAATAGTAAAACCAGACGAGGACCAGATATTTGGCAAAACACTAATACCAACTAGGCCACATATATACGAGGTAGCTCTGTATAGATGAATAAAAAGGATTTAATCAGAATATCAAGGGGACACTTACTGGTCCCTTCCTGGGCTATTTGAATTGAGAGTTTAAGGCACTATTGGTGAAAGATAATCGGTGCTAGTTCGTAAAGTGTGTACTAGGGTTTGGGTAAACTCTACAAGGGCAAAAGTAAGTAATAGTAGTGGCTTCAGCTTGCAAATACTTGTTTTCGGACTTGGCATAAGTTACCAAAGTCTAGGTTAGCCAAATTGTGGATACAGAAAGCTCTAGCAGATTTACTTCGAGGATAAAGAACTTGAAAAAAAGTCTGTCTTAAAATCCTAAGTCAGGTATCTGAAAATAAAGGGATACTAAGTATTTTCACTTGGTTAGAAGTTAATGTTTATAGGCACAGAAGGTTTAAATGGGTAACTTGGTAGGATTATAGGTACGGCAGCTAGTATAGAACTTAGTAATAGGGGACTACTTAAATAGGCAACTAAAAGTTATACATATAGCTAGTTGTATTCACCAAATATATATACAATATAGTGTATACTATACTGTAAAAGTAAATAATTACTGAATAAAAGGAAAGCGACTAAGAGGTCACCTTAATATTGAAAAAAAAAAAAAAGTATTTAGTTATTAGTAAAAATTTAGATAAAGCAGTTTGTAAAAAGTTTAGTATAAAGTTTTTAATATGTTTAAAAAAATTAATAAATTTATATTATAAGTTGCTGTCAAAAATAGATTTTTTGGAAAGGATAAATATATTTTGTGCACCCCACATTATGATGTAGAATAGTACAGTATATAGATCAATTATTATTATAACACGATCATACAAATATGAAAATGCTCCTATTATCTAACATCAGAGTTTCGAAAATATGTAAGAAACCTGATTATGCATAACTCAGATTATAGGAGTAAAGTTTAAATGGCAGTCATTGTATTGTTTACTTGATTTGGTATTACTTACATATATAATAAATATAGGGTTACAATTAAAATAATTTGAACTTTCTTTTGAAGTAGTAATTTAACAAGAGTATCGTTTATAAAAAAGTATGATATTTGTGTATTTGGTGTTTTGTCACAAAAGAAAGTTAGGTTAGAGATGTATAAAATTAATAAGATTATTAATAAGTAGAAATTACAAATAAGCGGATATCTGGCTTTCATTGTTTGGTGTAGTAATTTCAAGACAATCATGAATATTGTGTAAAAAATAAGACCATGCTCATATCATTTGTGATTTATTTCATTATAAAAACAGTTGTCAATTAAAAATGAAAAACTAATAGAATCAAATATAACTTACTAGGTGCTTAAATATTAGATGATTATTTTCTTTGGTATAATTCGAAGCTTTGTGAAAATCATGTGAATCATATAAAAGAAATAAGGTAATTCTTGAAGTAAGATGACTTTTATAATTGTTTTGTCACAAAGACTTTATTAAGTTTGTGATAAATAAAGAAGTAATCAATCACTAAACTTTGAATTTACTAGACGAATAGATATTAAATAACTCTTAGTTTTTTCTGATGCAGCAATTAAATACAATATTAGTGGCTAGTGAAAATTATGCAAAGGTGTTGAGTTAGTTAATGAAATTATAAAATTAACAAATGAATATACTTTCTGGACAAGCAGTATCAGGTGATATTTCTATTGTTTGATATAGTAATCAAATAGAATTTTGGTAAAAATCACATGAAAATGTAAGGCAACATTCATATTTTATAAAAGCAAAATAATTGAACTTACTAAGTAATAGATAAGAGAAGATTTAGTGATTGCTGAAACTTATTAATTGTATTGTTTCAATTCTCTTTGTTTTACTACAAAACAGCAGCATATTTACTATTCTTGCTTTCAGAAATAATGCTGTGAAAGACTGTTAGTAATTATATAAAAGTTCTCTCTTTTACACTTTCAGCTAGAAATTATTGTCAAATTGCTTGTAACTTTAAATTTGGTAGCTTTGAAATGGAGGAAGTACATATTGATCAGAATATGAATATTGAAATTGAAGACTATAAGTCTAAAAAACAATCAGATAATAAATACGATGAACCATTAAAACTTTATAAGAGTAAGCATTTGTAACGTATGTTTTTTAAGAGTCAAGTAAAATTAGATTTACGTTATTTATATTGTTAGGGCAAAGTTTTCAGACCACTGATAAAGCATATAGTGTAATTGAAGCCTTCACTCATTCACATAGATTCAGGATTCAAAAAAGAGTATGTTGAAAAAGATATTAATGATTATAAAATTTCAAGAACATTCCTATATCATTATGCTGAAAAACTATTAACCGAAAAAAGATCACATAATACAGAGAAATCTGGATCATGTCATACTGACTGTAAATGAAAAGTTAATATCTATTGAAATAAACGATTAATAAGATATTGTATATCTATCTTGACAAATGTCCATACTGGTCACACACCTGACCCAACTACTATACAATTTATTTTAAAAAATCAGAGGTTTACCAACAAAATATTAAAAGAAATTGAATATTATACTTTAGTTGAGAAGATCAATGTTAGCACCCAGTATCGTCTTCTTTTTGGTAAATATAAAGTTCCAATCCATTGTCATAACTTGTATAATGCAAATTCAAAATTTAAGAGAATTAACTCTTCTGGAGACAATGATATATCACAATTATTAACTAAGTTATTTTTAAAAAAAGAGGAAGATCTGAGATGGGTTATAGAATGGCGATTTGACAAAAATACTAATGCATTAACTTATCTTTTTTGGATGTCTCCTCATCAACTCAACCTTTGGCTGCAGTACAATAATATTATTCTCCAAGACAACATGGCAAAAATAAATGTCTATAATATGCTATTATCTATTTTTATTGTCATAGATAATACATATCGATCATATCTTGTCGCATAGACAATATTTGACAATGAAACAGTTGGTTCATATTCTTGGATACTTGAAGTTTTAATTAAGGCAACTGACAGACTTTATCTAAACACTATTTTAACAAATGCTAATCCTGCTATGAGCTTCGCTATTTCAACTATTATGCTTTCAATTCAGCATCTTCATTGTATCTGGCACATTAATCAAAATTTACAAAAAAAACTTAAGAGCAAACTAGGGTCTATTTGGAATTCATTTATTAAAGACTTTTATAAAACTCATAACATATTAGATCTGCAATTATTTGAGATTCAGTTTAAATCCTTGTTAGAGTGTTATCCAAAAGCAATATAATATTTTAATAAAGCTTTATATCCTGATAGATATTCTTGGGCAAGATCATATATTTATTGTCATTTTACTGCTAGTGCATAGGCAACTAGTCGTGTCAAATCAATCAACTCACATATTAAAGCTATTACATATCGTAGTCATCTAACTCTGTATAATTTGTTTGATACGCTCAATTCTTTGATTGCTAGTCAAGATTACTATTATGATTTTATTAGCTAGAAATCAACAAATATGAATGTTAAACCACCAAACATTTGTGATACTATATATTTAAATGTTGACACTATTCTTAAAACCTTTGTTGTATCTAATTTAATTGAAAAAATTAGATATGAAATAAATCATAGCTTATTTTACCATTCAGCCAAAACCGGTCTCAAGGCTTTGAATTTATATTAAGTAAAATAATATTTGCTGTTATATTAATATTATATATCTTGAATGCAATTATTTGTATGTTTATCTGCGATCAGTTAGTTGATAGACCTATTTTAGAATTTGCATTTATAATTAAATTTAGAATGCATAGCAGCATGATTTTTTTTACATTTGAACTATTATTATATGATAGAAACTCTTTTTTTATTATACTGTTGAACTCTTTTTTATATTAAATTGTAAATGCAAGATGATAATATAATATTTGTTGATGATGCTTTTGACTATCCATTAGCTCATTCTTTGCAATTTTTAAACAAGTTAAAGATTAAGTAATTGAAGTCTGGGAAGTGATTCATATAACATGAAAACATTTCTGACTTCATGTATTTTTATTTAAGGATGGTTCATTTATATGTAGTTATATGCTATTAATCAACCACAGGTATCCTTGCATACATTTCTTTTGGGTTATAGCATATTCTCCTGCTGCCAAATTTTTTATCAACTTTGTAGCAAGGTGTTGGCTTCATGAAGAATATCAAGATAAAGATCTGAATGTGCAACCTCTTGTCAACTTATTGACAGTTTTTTTATCTAAATCATCAGAGCCATTATCAATTCTGACCACTATATTATGAACAAATGATTCTACAAATTTATTTTTGATGGCAAGTTCAATACTGACTATGGTACAATCATTATCCACTGTTGCTAAAAAAGCAATACAAAAAAAAAACTTATGCTAAAACTATCAGTATTGCACATAAAACAATTAATATTGCTATTGAAAAGGATGACTTGCATGTTTTTAAGTTTTTAGAGGAATACATTATTCAAAATGAATATGTGCTTATTAAGAATACAGCCAGTGCATCCTCTCTTAGACAACAAACTAATATAATTAGGAAAAGTTCTGAATCAAATATTGTCTTTGAGAAACCTCCCACTAGAGTTTCCAACCCTATAAAAAAATCTAGAAAAGGCTGACCTTCAAAAAATAAATACTATCAATCATCATTAAAAAGTCAATGATTAAAAAGTCAAAAAAAATGATATAAAATAGCATGTGGCTTTGCAACTAATATATGTAGTGAATATAGTAATAAAGATTACAATTGTTAAAGGCATATCAAGTATAGAAATAAGGTTTGCAATTTATTAATTATTTGTAAATTATATAGCAATCAAAGCCATAACAAAGAAATGTATAATAACAATTATATTGAGGTAAATAAGGTAGATAAGGAAAATGAGTTGATAAGCACAAATAATTCAGAATCAGAAGTTGAAATATATAGTGATGAATAGTTTCAAAAAGTTGTTATATAGGATAGTTTTTAATTCTTTTATGTTTACTTCACTAGTCGAATATAAGAAATTCGACCACCAAATGAAATGGCCGGATCAACCTGAATTCGATTGTTGAATATTTGGCTAATATTATACTGAATAATAGAGTAAATCAACAGTCAAATGCTAATAAAAATCAGCAATCAAATTTAAGTCAAAAATTTCAATTGACAACCGATTGACATAATAAAATCGATCTATAATCGCTAACCAAATACTTATAAAATTCGAAATAAAATTAGTATAAATTCAATACAGTCAGGAAAATTGCCAAATATGGAAATCGAATCTAGAATAATCTGCAAAAATTTGATTGGCTATCAATTAATACTTTTCGCATTTTTTTTCATTTTCTAATTGTACATTAAAAATTCTTGTACTACTTATATACCGCCAGTAATTATATGAACCTGTAAATAAGAAACTTTACTTTCAGGATCAATAAATAACGTTTTGGGATCAACGCTTATTAAAAAAGTAAATGAAACTTAAAAATCCAAGACTTTTGAGTGAATTTTATATAAAACTAACGTTTTTTTTTTTTTTTTTTAAGTTTTACACTAGAGTATAAAGATGTCGCAATCAGAACGACCAAACGCACAAGAACTTCCGTGCATTTTCCAAGGTTTAGTTAAAAATTATGAAGGAATTAACTTAAGAGCCTGTGATACAAATCCGTTACAAACCTGGAGACATGCAGACTGTCCAGCAGCAGAAAGGCGACTCCCGTTATATCACCCTTTTATACCTGAACTCGTAGATCTTCATTCTTCGTTGAGTACTTACTCGATCTGCCAAATACATTATAATCAACTTATCTCTAAGGATCATTTTTACCAGCGGCTATTAAATAGTTCATCACTCTCGTCATCTTCATCTTCGTCTTCTACTCACAAAAAATCTCAAACTAATACTAAACCTGATAATGATTCTAGGTCAGCTCACGAAGAGACAACTAACTTTGGTGGGTCGCACCTATCAATAAATCTTGAAAAAACCAAAAGCTTATTCGATAAGAGTCAAGAAAATAGCAAAGATGTAGTATACTTCACTAATGCGATTACAGAGTTACTTTTGCAGGTAGAAATTCAAAACGGGGAAATAAAGGGATTGAGAGAAACAATAAGTAAATATTGTAAAGAGATACTTCACTTAAAGGAATTATATCAGAAGAAGTGTGAAGAGAATGATGAACTCATTCAACGTTGGGATTCTCG